GTATTCATTATGACATTCTAAAATGAAGTGTTGTTTGTATTTAGTGAATGCCCATACAAATTTTTCTGTTTGTGCGCTATAAAATTTTGAACTACTAAAATAATATAAGAGAAAAATCACAAAAAATGGGATGAATCCATATAAATGATTCAAAATGTATTACAAACTTAATTTTACAACAAGCAATTGCAAATAAGTGATATCAAGAGAGAACGAAGAAAGAAACAGAAAGAAGTAGAAGTCAAAAATATATTCAACAATATTTAAAACAAGAGGTAGAAAGCAAGTAATACAAAAGAAAAAAATTCAAAACATTGATAATTCATGTTATCAGGGCATTTGACGATCGGAATACACAATGTCATTTAAGTATACGTGTCACTTAAAGATGTCGAATTCTGACATGTTTGCCTGTTATGTCCAGAACCCCCACATCGGCCGCATTTTCATCTCAACGTCGACTTTTCAGTTCTTGACCGTTGACGTTGGATAGGAGGTCGACCTGGTGCTCTACATATATTCGGGGGCAAAACTTCGACGGAATGAATAGACTGAGAAACAACCCAATCTGACTCTCGGCCAAATGGTGAAGAACTTCGTTGTACGCAGCTCACCAATATTCTGTGGTGTAGTAAGGGAAGCACAAATCATATAATGATTTTTCTTTTGCGCAAGCAGCTCGGGATGCACGTGAACATGAGATTTGTCGCATCTGAAACTCTCGACATGAACATGTGTTACCTATAAGGTCGACGGTACAAAGTTCGGTAGCTATACTTACCTCAAAAACGAGTTCGTCCAAATTTCGTACTGGTAAAGTTGCACCAGCGTCGAATGATTTTCTCAATTCATCATCAATTTTTGGTGTCACAGTCGTACTACATTTCGTGGATGCACTTTTTTCTCTCGTAGAACCATCGTTGTATCAATGACGTAATAGTTTCGATCAACGAGGTTATAGGGAAACCTCTTTGTCGTCTTAGGACTGAATTCAATGACTCCGCAATGTTATTCGTCATAACGTTGTACCGATTACCAACAAAATGTGCCCGTGACCAGGAGGATATATCGGCATGTTCCAAGTAAGATGCCATTGACGGTCGAATGGTTCTTATCCGTGTCATGAACTGATCAAATTTCGATACGCGGTATGCTAGCGCTGCCCGCTTGAATAAGAAGATGACATTGCTATTGCTATACCTAGCAATAAGATTTTTCTCGATATGCCAGATGCAGGCACCGTGGTGAGAAAGTGGAAACAACCTCGTAATTGCCCGCTTACTACTCTTCTTCCTGTCCGACACAAACACTAGCTGGCTTGAATCATCAACGACATCTTTTAACTTTGCAAAGAACCAATACCACGATGCATTTGTTTCCCCATCGACAACACTCCAAGCAAGAGGATATATTTGTAGGTTAGCATCTTGCACTGCAGCTACTAGTAGTGTTCCCTTATATTGGCCCTTCAAATGACTTCCATCAACACAAATTACTGGCCTCATGTATTCTCGAAAACCACGTACACTAGGCCCGAACGCTAAGAAGAAGTACAAGAACCTATTATTTGAGTCGAGTTCAATGTGTGCAATAGTTCTTGGATTTTTCTCGGTTAACATGTGACAATATGATGGCAATTTTTGGAAACTTTCTTCGGGTGTACCACGAAGAAATCGAAGTCCCTTCTCTTTAGCCCTCCACGCTTTGTTGTAGGTAATTTGTACACCAAACTCACGTTCCATATCCCCAATAATACTCGTAGGAACGTATAATTGGTTTGCATCGTTCAACCTTCGCATTATGTGATGCCCAATTATTGCACTCGTTGCGTAAATTTGTGCATTTCGTCGAACGTCTAGAGAACATGTGTGCTCATGTATGTACTCTCGAATCGTAAATATTTCTGAAGTTTTTATCTTAGAAGCTCGTACTAGCCAATGACATATAGTATCGACACAACACACAGTAAGAGATCTAGGATTCGACTTTTTAACCTTGAAATGAAACTTCTCTTTCAAAGCCTTAAGTTGAAGCCTTGTGTGTAACTGTTGTTTGCTAAAGAATAACTGATTCTCCACAATGTCTTCTTTATCAATTGACTCAATTGCATTTCGAATAAACAAATTGCCTTCACCTAAACTTTCATACATATTATCAATCGTTTGTGGCTCTTGTAGTTCGCACATACTGACTTCATCGCGTCCACACAATGCATCTTCTATTGGTGACAAAGGCTCAACTCCGACATGCAGTTCGTGCTCTCCAGCATTATATTCATCTGCAATTACACACAACGTCACTTCTGTGTGAGCAGACATAAACCATTGCAAATCTTCATCGTCAGCTACATCAGCAGGGGGTATATTCATGTTCGAAACTGTAAATTTCAATTGAATTCGGAACTTCATTCTATCAACATTCAGCTTCTCGAATAATTTATGTACAAGCTCTTCATATGTAATATCATGTTGAACAACGATTGATGTTGTTCGGTTCCCTAACCACTTCTACCCGTCATCTATGTTGACGAATCTACCACCATACGAGACAACAAATCTCTTAACATCTCCTATAGCTGCATGTCATAAACAACAATACTATCAACCACTAACGAAAATCGAAAACGAAAATGCTACCTACATGCAATATGTGAATCGCTATACACGAAATTTTCCTAACTTACTCAAGTTTTTAATGTTATTGTCAACATTTGACAGTGACGAGAATGATAGTATAAATATCATTCTCGACGTTTATAAATGTCGTGAACGATGTTTATACTATCATTATCGACATTTATAAAATGTTGAGAATGAAATGACGGGATTTCATGCATTTATCATCTTCTTCAACTTCAACCAACATTTTTGCAAGAATTTATTCCACGATAAATGATATTCTAAATACAGAAGTATATTATCTAACTAAGTTATTTAAGATGAATGATACAAAAAATATATACTTAGGATAATTTCGTCCATTGAAGGGAAAAAATACCTTATCAAAAAATTGAGATTTGAACATATATAACAACAACTACTAAATAAAACTTATCAAAAAAACGAGAGTTCGAAGAAATAGAGTTCAAAGAAATATACTTTCTACCGACAAATGATGAAAGCCTAATCAGCTTCAAATTTCTACCACAGTAAATTTCTTAAAATGATTTCTTTGAAGTTGGAATCATATACTTCTTCGCATATGTTAATGGAATTTTTGCTTTTTCTTCATTTGTTCTAGAATAATTGATTAAAATATAATTAAAAATGTAAGCAAGTGGACTCACCTAGGTAATAGCAACATTTTTGTGGCTTCTCATGGAAGTTATTTGCTCTTCTTAAAAATTGTGTTTATTATTATTGGCATTAATTAGCTTCTCGGGTTTCACCTCCAAACATTATATGTACACAAATTAAGTAAAAATTTGCCCAATAAATCAAATATTATACAAGCTTGGAAGTCTAGGTAAGAGTGTAAAGTACCTTATCAGATCATTTCCTTTCGAAAATTCTCAATGAAAAATGCAGATGATGACAAATGAGAACATATCACGCTTGTGAGTTGTTTATAATCGATTTAAATTATAAATGGATGGAATTGAGTATTTGATAAATGTGTAATATTGACCTACAAAAAGTATTTTGATCGACTATTAACAATTTACAAACAAATGCCAAACATGCACAATTACATTATAAAAATTTTTACGATTTTCTAAAAGATAGTTACATTTTTATTGACTACAATTTAAGGTCCCAATCTTTGTTATAGTTGTACTTATGTCCTGGCCTTTTCTTTTTCGTTTTCCTCCTCCTTTTTTTTTGGCATTTTTATCATCTATCTTTTATTTTATTATTTAGTACATTTGATCTATGATGATTATTTTTTTGTCAAATATTTTGTTTGCATTCTTCAAAATAAGGGACGAATATGATATCGCACTTTTGTATTTGTTTTTTTCTTATTTGAAAATATGAAAGATACGTAAGCCTTTTATGTTCTTTTAATAAATTTTGGACTACAGCCGTTATTAGATCCAACGCAAGTCAAGTAAACTCCTGGGCCAAGCCTGACTAAAATCTAGCCACGATCTCAAAAGGCTATGACCCGATGTGATCTCAAGAGGCTATGAAACGATGCGCTAATAGTTAATAAAAAGTTAGGATAAAAATGCAAGGAAACAAAGTTAAGGATGTAGCCGAAAAATTCATGTTGTCCACAACATTTTCCTCTTAACACTCTTTAATTGTACTAGAAGTTCCTAACATTCACCCGTCGACACATTCATGTCTTCAACTATTTTTCATTGCATTCTTATTATCAACATTTCACTGATAGTATACACTATTTTCAACGATGATTTTCATCCAAAAAGTTCATTATAATGGTATAAAAAGATTTATTTGTCCTTCATATGCTTAAATAAACAACAAATGCAAAGATACGACAACATATTTACTCAGAATATTTGGAAAGAAAGTAAGAAACCATCATCATAAACCGATGCGTGCTAACTCATACAAAATTAAAATTAAAACTGTGATTAAAAAAGATCAGAAAATAACTAACATTTTGAAATTGCAGATAATTTGTCTTCAACAAGAAACCTACCCCGTCCATGCCATAGTTTACCAACTCATATCTATACCCATAACTATAATGCTATTACATATAAATATATATATGCTCAACCTTACTGACAGCGACAGTGTGAGAGTTCGATTTCTGAAATATGGATTGAGACTCTTTATGGGCACCAGTGTACAAGCAACTCTTATTTCCTGACCTATTGGGGCACATTCTGCGATTAACCTCTCTCACGATGCTCCAAGGACAAGGCGGTGGGTACTATTCTTAAGGTTGAGGTTCAACCTTTTATAAATATATATATATATACATATATGCGTTGTATGTGTCAGTGTGTGTATTTAAGTTTCTGGCTGGAAAGTTTTAGAAATGAGTGGAATAAGAGTGACAGGGAATTAATTCATGGTAGGCCAATCTCCACAACAAGAATTTTAAAAAGAAAAATCTGATTATAATTTCCTCAAAGGACCCCTTCATATTTTCCTTCTCCATTCAAAACCCAAAAAAAATTCAGTGAAATTTATTTTGTTTATGCCCATGTTTGTTGTTAATTTGTTCTTGATAATTTTGTTGATTATATGCCTATTATTTGTTGTTCGATTATTATTGCATCGAACTGCTTTAATTTATGTTTTGAGAATGTGGGTTGAACGGATTGATGATCAAATTCATGTTCATCAGCAATTTAGGGTCCCTGAGTTGAATGAAAACGGCCAAGAAAATCAGCTATACCGGAAAGTTCAGCTATATGTAAATTCATTGGCTTCGGTTGAAGATTCTGATTATACGAACTTATTCTCCGGCGAGGAGTCGAACGACATCGTTTTGGCACTTGGGGATGATCAGATAATCCGGGACACTTTTCTCGGAGCACGAGTTATGTGGGTAAAAATTGATCGAAGTTTTGTGTTGAAGATTAAGAAAAAGGATAGGAGGAGAATTTTGAAGCCTTATCTTCAACATATTCATACAATTTCTAACGATATTGAACAGAGAGGGAAGAAATTGAAGCTGTATATAAACAATAAAGGAAAATGGAGATCTGTTCAATTCAATCATCCTTCAAATTTCGACACGGTTGTTGTTCACCTGGATTTGAAAAACAAGATTAAATCCGATTTGGAAAATTTTGTGAAGTCGAAGCAGTATTATCACAAGCTTGGCCGTGTCTGGCGGCGGAGCTATCTCCTCTACGGCCCCTCCGGCACCGGAAAATCCAGTTTCATTGCAGCCATAGCGAATTTTCTCTCGTATGATGTTTATAACTTCGATTTCTCACAAATTGAAGATGGTGATAATCTTAATTTGCTACTATTGCAAACGAAGGGTAAATCTTTGATTGTTGTCGAAGATTTGGATTGTTACATTTCGGAGAAATCGAAAACTGGGATTTCTTCATCTGGGCTGTTGAATTTCATGGATGGGATTTTGTGTTCGAGTTGTTGTGATGAGAAGATTGTGATTTTTACGATGAACAGTAAAGAAGGGATTGATTTTGATTTGTTGAGGCCTGGGAGGATTGATGTCCATATTTATTTTCCTCTTTGTGATTTCAATTCATTCAAGGGATTGGCCAGCAATTATTTAGGGGTTAAGGAGCATAAATTGTTTCAACAAGTGGAGGAGATTTTCCAGGGCGGCGCCACCATGAGCCCGGCGGAGATCGGGGAGTTAATGCTGGTGAATCGGAGCTCTCCCACCCGGGCTTTGAAGTCAGTAATCACGGCGTTGCAAGCTAATGGTGGCGGGGGAAAGGTGGCAATGCGGTTGAGGGATAGTGCAGAGTCATCTCCAGCGCCTTCGTCCGCGACAGAGGATGGTGGCGGCGCCCCCTGGAAGGGCACCGTGCCTAAGGAGTTTCGGAAGCTATATGGACTGCTGCGGTTGAAGAGCTGCAATAGACCAGAGTCGTTAGATCATGATTCCGACATGATTGAACGGTGATGATATCACATGGTTTTTCATATTTCTTTATATTATTTCGAGCCTATAATAATCTGTAATATTATCAGATTTCATTTCTAGTGATTTTCTTTTTCCATATATTTCGAAAAAATATATTGCAAACGTAACTAGGGATGCACACATTTTGGTTCAACTAGAGTTCGTAAAAAAACAGTACTAAACCGGGAACCAATGTGATTTTTGTAATTATTGAAACATTCAAATCCCGTATTGTTCCATAATGATAATTATAATCATAAATTAAGAGAGTGTTTGACATTCATTTGTTGAAAAAGTAAATTTTAAAATAGTAGATTGATGGAGATTGTGTGTAAGAAAAATAAAGAAAATTTTTTAATTTACGTGTAATATTATTTTAATGGAGAATGTGTGGTTAGAAAGAAGAGAGAAAAATATATTTTGATAAAAATGGAAATCAAATGAGATTTAAGTTTCATAAATGATTGGATCAAGGACCTTAAAAAAGTTTAATTCATTTTGGATTTTATTTTCAAGTACTAGAATTAATGTCGAACTAAACTAGTCGATTATTTATTTTTGTACTTGAGGATCATTTAGAACTTAAAATGAATCAAATTGAACTCATTGGTTCGATTAGATTTTGTGGATATTCTATCGACCCATAATTTCAATATATTTTTCTCCTGCGATAAGCAATCTATTTTATATAATTGTCCTTAATATTACATTGATTTTATTTTTAAAATTGAAAAAAAAAAAAAGAAAAAAAAAAAAGAAAAAAGGCAGCCCACATTGTGTCTCTCATCATTGGCGATGCTTTAGATGACATAATTGTGTTTCGTTGAGTTTGCTTTGTCCATTGTATTTGGAATTTAACTGATGGGATTGATTTGAGAATATTTGATCACAAGGACCACAAAGTCCATGATTGTTTCTAGTTGGTGATTCGATATCCGCTCTTTAATGTTTATTGTCCGTTCAATTAATTATTAATACATCATTTTACATTAAAATATCACATATTTTTAAGTCTAAGGAGTAATTAGAAAAAAGTTGAACATGTTAATTTAAAATGATTTGTTAATAATTAAAGTTTGTTCTAAGTTCATGTATTATTGATTTGTACGTTGTATGGACTTTTGTCAGCATTGTTAACTTGAGATAACCAGACTTCAGAATTTTTGCCACTATTTACTTCTGATAAAAATGAGTTTGAAAAAAAAAAATATTTAAAAAAATGGGGTCGAACATAAACTTATTTTATTTCATTTCATTTTAAATAGGTTATGTCTTTGTTTACTAAATCAGCAATAATGGCCATACGAGGAGTTTTTTTTTTTTTGCAGGGAGGCTAAGAGGATTTTGCCTTTTTATCTATTCATTTTTTTCTTATATTTCTTTATATTATTTCAAGTCTATAATAATCTGTAATATTATCAGATTTCATTTTTAGTGATTTTCTTTTTCCATATATTTCGAAAAAATATAATACAAACGTAACTAGGGATGCACTCATTTTGGTTCAACTAGAGTTCGTAAAAAAGCAGTACTAAACCGTGAACCAATGTGATTTTTGTAATTATTGAAACATTCAAATCCCGTATTGTTCCATAATGATAATTATAATCATAAACTAAGAGAGTGTTTGACAATCATTTTGTTGGAAAAGAAAATTTTAGAATAATAGATTGATGGAGAATGTGTGGAAGAAAAATAAAGAAAAGTTTTTAATTTACGTGTAATATTATTTTAATGGAGAATGTGTGATTAGAAAGAAGAGAGAAAAATATATTTTGATAAAAATGGAAATCAAATGAGATTTAAGTTTCATAAATGATTGGATCAAAGACCTTAAAAAAGTTTAATTGATTTTGGATTTTATTTTCAAGTACTAGAATTAATGTCGAACTAAACTAGTCGGTTCTTTATTTTCGTACTTGGGATCATTTAGAACTTAAACTGAATCAAATTGAACTGATCGATTAGATTAGATTTTGTGGATATTCTATCGACCCATAATTTCAATCTATTTTTCTCTATAATTGCCTTAATATTACATTGATTTTATCTTCTTCTTTTTTTTAAAAAAAAGGAAAGCAGCCCACATTGTGTCTCTCATCATTGGCGATGCTTTAGATGACATAATTGTGTTTTGTTAAGTTTGCTTTGTCTACTGTATTTGGAATTTAACTGGTGGGATTGATTTGAGAATATTTGATCACAAGGACCACAAAGGTTCATCATCCTCTCCAGTTCCATGATTGTGTCTAGTTGATAAGTCGATATCCGCTCTCTAATGTTTACTGTTCATTCAATTAATTATTAACACATCATTTTACATTAAAATATCACATATTTTTAAGTCTAAGGAGTAATTAGAAAAAAGTTGAACATGTTAATTTAAAATGATTTGTTAATAATTAAAGTTTGTTCTAAGTTCATGTATTATTGATTTGTAAGTTGTATGGACTTTTGTCAGCATTGTTAACTTGAGATAACCAGACTTCAGAATTTTTGCCACTATTTACTTCTGATAAAAATGAGTTTGAAAAAAAAAATATTTAAAAAAATGGGGTCGAACATAAACTTATTTTATTTCATTTCATTTTAAATAGGTTATGTCTTTGTTTACTAAATCAGCAATAATGGCCATACGAGGAGTAGGGTGATTGCAGGGAGGCTAAGAGGATTTTGCCTTTTTATCTATTCATTTTTTTCTCTTTCTAGCCATTATTATTATTATTATTATTATTATTATTATTATTATTATTATTATTATTATTATTAATTTTTTATTTTATTTTATTTATTTTATTTTTTTTGGCATGGTCATTGTTAATAATCCTCACGAACCAACAATATTAGAAAAATCAATGCATATATTTTAAAACATAATCTGGAGAAAGAATATAAATCCTAAAATAAAATGAAATTTCACCTTTCATTTAGTGGAGATAGCACTGTAAAAGATCAAAGATTCCTTGTTTACCAACCAATATAAATTGAGTTGAGAGCTACTTACAAATATGGATTTAAGGTAAGGTTTAAGTACTAAACTGATACACTACACAAACAGAAACAACCAAAGTTCCTTTTCCTAATTCGGATGTCGTTGGAGATAGATTTTGGAAAGATGAGATTATTATATCCAAGTTCTTTCTAATTACCATAATCACTTGAAAGATTTTGGAAAGAGAGATTTCCATAATGAGTGTCGAGTGTCTAATATGGATTCACATTTATTAATCTGCTCACAAGGAAAACAAGTCGAGAAATACAAGGCCAACACCGTCGAGAAAAATACAGATTACACATTTTCAAGAAATTTGAATACCATGCAAAGCTTGTCAATGCCTTGAAATCTTTAGTTTTGATGTAAAAGGAATCAAACTAAAATCCTGATTCCTTTTAGTAGAGTTTTCTAATTATAATTTAGGAGGGCATGTCGATACCACAACAAGAACACCAAGATGATATTTAGATGACACATTTTTCAAAAAAAATTGGAATTCCAAAAGTTTGTTGTTCAAAGCTTATCAATGAATTGAATCGTTCCCGAAGTGTTCGAGATGTTTAAGAAATGGAAATCCATGGTAGAGAATGAAACAGGATTTCAAATAAAGAAATCGAGATCAAGTAATGGCGGAGAGTACAAGCATGCTGATTTCAAAAAGTTTTGTTACCAGAATGGTATTGAATTGGAGAGGACATTGCCAGGAACATCGCAAAAAATGGAGTGGAGTGGCAAAACGAATGAATTGGACGTTGACACAAAGAGCTAGAAGCATACAGTTACATGCAGGTTTGCCTAAACAATTTTGGACTGAAACTATCTAACGGCAGCATATTTAATTAGTCGTGGGCCATTAGCACCTTTGAAGTATAGGACAACGGTGGAAGTATGGAGCGAAAAAGAAATAAAACTTTTTCATTTGAAAGTTTTTGGCTGTGTCGCATATGTACAAATTAGTGATCAAGCTAGAGGTAAGCTTGATTACAGACCATCAAAATATATCTTCATTGGATATGATGGAGATGAGCTCGAGGTATCGTCTTCGGGATAATAAGAACAAAAAGGTCATCAAAAGTCAGGATGTCATATTCAATGAAAGAGTGATGTACAAGGACAGAGACATGGTGCAGTCCAATGACATACATGATAATCCAATATATGTTGAGTTGGACGATACTTCAAGTAGTAGTATGTGACAATAGACAGATAAGGGTCCTCAACCAGAGGAAGCTATCGTGGAGACTGATATACCAAAATCTCTAACTCTTATGCCTACCCTAAGGAGATCTTCCCAACCACATGTTCCAAACAGAAAGTACATAAATTATTTGTTACTTACTGATGCCAATGTACCTAAATGCTATGATGAGGCATGTTAGGGAGAAGATGCAATTAAGTAGGGACAAGCAAAATGGTATTTTACAGCAATTCTAGGTCCAAGTACATTAGTTAAGTTTTGCAGATGTTCAAAATGAATAATACAAAGTCAGTTAGTACTCGATTGGCTAATCGCTTCAAGGATGGAGTATTAACACTGAAAAAGATCAAGGATAGCAGAAACCCAGCCAACATGTGAACCAAGACAATAACTATGAAAAAATTGGAGTTGTGCTCAACTTCAATAGGCCTTCTAAAATGAAGATCGAAAAGATGATCCACACCATTTTTCATTAAAAATGAAATTGCCCTCACAATGTCTCAAGGTAAAGCTACATTAATCTCCAATTGTAAGATTGTTGAATAGTGAGGCCACTCTATTCATAAATAGTGGAGCCTAATGTATATAGAGGGCATTTGAGCCCCATTTTTATGGGGAAAAAAATGTATTTTAGAATAGTAGATTGATGAAAAATGTGTGGTTGAAAAAGAAGAAAAAAATTTGATTTATGTATAATATTATTTTTAATGAAGAATGTATTGTTAAAGAGAAAAGAGGAAAAATATATTTTGGAAAAAATGAAATTCAGACAAAGCCTAAGCCTCACATTTTCAACTCCAGCTGGACATTTTTTTTTTTTTTTTAAAGTTGGCAAAGTTGGTTTACATATTGGGCTATGCTACAAAATTCGGGATTAAATTCGGGTTTAAATCCAGGATCGATGTGGCAACACCTCGACCCTTGATCTTGAATTTCATAGGGCTCGCAGCATAACAATCAAGGCAATACCTCCACCTGTCAATAGGGCCTTTCATTGGCTCTGTTTGAATGGCAAAACTCTTACATATTTTCAGAAGGCTGATACGAAA